TTTGATTACTGCCGTGGTTAAGAGCTGCTGATTCACAGACTACTTGCTTTTCCTGGAAGTCATCTGTGACTCTATTCAGAACAGCTTGTGCTAATTAGACTTTGAAGTGTCCGCCTGGTGGAAAACTTTTTTTCTCCTGCTTTTTAAAAAAGCATCTGGTCTGCTAAAAAAATAATTTGTTAGATTAGTAATCAAGTGCAGTTAAATAATGGTTTTTATGCTGAAAAACCCACTGATTTGCCAGTTCATTTAAAATACTTTTAAAATACTTTGTACTATAGTGAAATCAAAAGCCAGATGTACTTGGTCTTTAAGTTATGCTTCTGTTGTAGTGGGTTGTGAGTTTTGTGCACCACTGATAACTCAAATTAAATCATGCTATTGGAAGTCCTGAATAAATGCATGGCTAATACCATGACAAAAAATTGTTAATGTCTGGTGAAACCAAGGAAGTTCAGAGGAAAAGAAATGTAAGTGGGATCAGTAAGTAATTTGGGTGGTTAGAGTTCCAGAATACTAACTCTATTTTTACAGTGCTCACTGTAAAAGGAAAAGAACCATTTTCTAGCCTTTTAGAATGCAGTATTACAGTCGTACCTAGGTGTTTTGTGGTCACTGTAAGGAAGACCAATGTTAGTAAGCTTGACTGCATGTCTCTTACTGTGATTCTGTTGGGGGTTTATTTACTGTGGAGTTTCTGTTCCTGGGGGCAATGCTGACAATTGCCTTTTAACGTCAGTAGAGGATTTATCTTACAGGGAGCTGGCCATGAGAGAGTAGGTAGAGCTAACAGACCTGTTCAGATACTTTAGCTGGTGGTGTGTTAAATGTAACATCCCTGTCAGATGAACTAGCAGTTTGCAACAGAAATGGTGTAGATGCACACCTAATTTGAAAGAATAAGTAGGTTGGTGATCAATGAAGATGTTCATTAACAAACAAGAAAATTTGTTATAGTTTGTAGAATGAAACACCCATGTCTAAGGCTAGCTCTAATAGCAGGAGTTATAAACTACTGCTATGACTGGGGGAAAAGTTCCACTTCTTTGAAGCAGCAGTTATTTCATTTGTGTATGTACATGTTTGATAAAAAAAATGTAGTCCCTTATGTGCTTCTTCTCAGGCACAAAGCTACAGCTTTACTCTTCTAATTGATGTGGCATGTATTTTCTTCTGAATTAGCTTGAGAAAAATTATCCACAGAAGGAAGTAATTTGAATATATTACATTTGACATGTATTCAATCAAGCTCTTTTTTTCTTTTCAAACCATAGCTTTTTATAGATAAATAATCAGATTCTTCCTTATATTGTCAGTGAGATAAGGTTACTGATTTCTAGCTAATACTTTTCAGATACTAAGTGTTTTAATTTGATACAGTGTGTTCAGGCTATGGGGTTCACTAGGAATATCTTAATCGTAACAATGCAGCAATTGTTCATAGATTTTTTTGTTTGTTTTGGGGTTGTGTTTTTTTTTTTTTGTTGTTTTTTTTTTTTTTTTTTTTTGTTTTTTTTTTGTTTTTTTTTTTTTTTTTTTGTTTTGTTTTTTTTTTTTTTTTAATGGGGATTTAACCTTGGAGCAGTTCCAGCTGTGTTAATAAACCACAGGAAGCTTCAGTGAACATAAATACATTTAGAGAAGAAATTCTGTCTCTTACCTAATGTACAGACAACTAAGCAAGAGCAGCTGCTTACTGAAGTCAGTTTCTTTTTCACTACATGTGAAATTCATAATCAAAAACAAGACATGAGACTACTTCGCAGCTAGTAGTTGGCTGATTTACACTAGTAGTTGCTGTTGAATGTGGCTGGGACATAGGAGGTTGAATTTGGTTAATAGGGGAGAAGTCATAAAGCATTAATTGCTTTTGATGCTTTCAGACATTTCTAGAATCGGCAATCTAATTTAGTCTCAATGAAATTTAAATCCTACGTTTTGTCTGCCAAACTTATAAAGTTCAAACATAATCAATTTTCTTGAAAGAATTCCAAGTATGAAAACATTTTTGGTGATATGTGAGGATATATATGAGCATTACTTGAGTATTGTATGAGAATTATATGATCAATATATGAGTATTAGTGAAAATTGCTAATAATGCTGACTGCTTCTTTTGCAGAATAGGTATGAAATTGAAACATTAATAATTCTTTGGGAGTAAACAGTGGGGGCAGTCAGAATAGTGGACAGGAACTGGCAGTACTCATGTTGTTGTATGGAAAACCTGCCATTTTAGAGATTAGAAGAAGAAAAGGGGATTCCTTTTCCCTTGAGAAAGCTAGAGATTATCATATAGTTTTCTGTTAATACTGAGCATCAGCATGAAGAGGGAGGTTTGGGAGTTCTCTTTCTGTAGATCCCAGCAAGTAAGTTTTATCCAACTGAGAACAGCCATCAACACTGTCATAACTGAGCTCCAGATGGCAACTAAACACCACACAGCTGCTTGCTCTCTCCCCACACAGTGAAATGGGAGGAGAGAATTGCAAGGGTAAGAGTGAAAAAAGCAATGGGTTCAGATAAAAAAAATTTCCTAAGTGAAATAAAAATAACTGTAATAATGATAGCAATAATGAGAAGGAAAATAACAGCCAGTCTTGCATGCAGAGCCCAGGTATTTGTTTATTTTGTATTTGTTCAAAGATGGGTACTAGGTGCTAAATCTGCAAAGCTAGCATGCTAATTTGTGCTCCATACATTCTAGCAAAAAAAAAGAAATCATGGTTCATTAGCTACAAAGTTATCTGGTTTTCTTATTAATTAGTAATCTACCTTCTACTGGTTGAATGATCCTCTCACTTCTCATGCCAATTAGTTCCACGCTCAGTCTTTCTATTCCTTTGAGTGGGTGAGTTTCTTGAGTCTGGTTGCAATCTTCCTCTGCTGGAATTACCCGTTACCCAGAGAGCAGAGCGGCTCCTTACTCCATGAGTAAATGCCAAGCAGGAGAAATGATGCTGCTGAAAACAATTGCTTACCACCAACCAACCAACCAAAGGCTGGCGTGTCCCTGAGCATCACCACCTTGGCAGCCTCCTGCCTGCTCTTTTTGCAGAGCACAGCGCTACAGGGTGTGGGATACCCTGCTAAGCTGGGGTCATCTGTGCTGCCTGTGCCCTCTGCCCGTGTCTTGCCCAGCCCCAGCTCTCTTGGTGGTGAGATGGTGCGAGGAGGAGGAGAGGCCTTGAATCTGTGTAGCCACTCCTCAGCAGCAAGTAGCGCCTCCCTGTGTTACCCTCTCTGTTCTCACACAAACCCAAAAATAATTCCTTACCAGCCACTGGAGTGTACACCAGCATGTAGTTAACTATGTAGTTAACTCTATCACAGCCAAAACCAGCACAGCAAGAAAAGTATTTCTGAATGTTTTGTATTATAATAAAGGATCGCTCCCATTGCTTCAAAATGCCATACTGGGTTTTGTCTATGGCAAAATTTTTCTATTGAGTGATTTTTCTATTTTATTGTACCAATTTTTAAGTTCACTGATGATGGCTGAAGTCAGGACCCTGCTGTTCACTTCTTCTGATATTGTTACCAGTTGTACTACTTCAAGCTCTAGCATTAAAAGTCTTTCTATCTTTATCAGATCATAAAAGAGGGTGCATATAATTATGGAACTATAAGGCACAAAAATATTTCTAATTAATTTAGAAATATTCTTGGTTATAGTTCAGTCATTGCAACATAACATTACTGAAATAAAACATTACATTTCAGATCATTTCTTCTCTGTTTTTTATTCAAGTTAGTATAAGTGGTACCTGTATTTAGCATGAGGTCTCATTCGAAGGACTGTATTTTTTTTTTTTTCCTTGACCAGGTTTTGCTTTTTCTTTCATATCCTAGATGGCTATTCCCTATTTTGGAAACAAATAGTAAAAGTTGAAATACTCTGTCTTATTCAAATTTAATTTGTCATTGTTTTGTTCAGCCCTGGACAGCATTTTTTGTCAAAGGTTCTGTGTCCAAAAGCTTTTAGCCAGTTCTTTTGAGGGCAATACTCAAAAGTTGGCAGAATAGTGATGGGCTTACTACTGCTTGTGGGTGAAGTGTTGTGCTCACAGACTGACAGATATTTGGACTGTAAGAAGAATGGCTTATCTTATTAAATTGGAATGATAATTATGACTAAATTTCAAATGTTGTCAAACATTTCAAACTTGACCTTTACATGCAGATAATCCAGCAAACACACTGATCCGGAGGGCACCATTCCATTGAAAGGAAGTTCCTGGGAAGAAGGCCAAACACTTGAAACAGTGTTTTGATTGCTTACTCCAGATTTTCAAATGAGGAACGACGACAATCGTCCTTGCTAAATTTGTTTGTGGTCTGAAAAATTTACCATTACCCAAATTAAGCTTCATGTTCCTCAAGCTTTTGCAGTTACAGACACTCTACTTTTAAGAAGCTGAGCTTGAACTCAAAACCCTACCATTAAGGCTTCATTGGGTTTTTTGAAAACTAAGGTATTATGTAGTAAAGGCATTATAGCTTCTACACTAAATATGTTTGACAGGCTGCAGTCTCCTGTGAGCTCTTCTGGGACATCTGACTTTTCTAAACATTTTTAAAACCACTAACATGCTGAATGCTTTATGAATAAATGTAGGGGCACAGCTCTGTGCTTTGCACTCTGTTCTTCTGTCACAGGAAATACCTGTTCAAACTTGAGTCCTATTGTTGTAGACATTTATTTTCCTTTACAGCAGTACTGACATTCATAATTGTGTTCTATCACATCTCATTGAGGTACCTAGGAATGCTTTTAAAGAATGCATTTTCTGTACATTGCAGTCCATGTAATCATTACTGTGAGGTAATATTACCACTGGCTGGAAATTGAGTAAGTAAACCTTTGTCAGATATCTGTTTATATACTTGGATAGTTCTGACCACAACAAGGTTTCAGTCTTGTTTGCGTCTAATTATGCTGTAATGTATAAAGTTAGTAATAACAAAAAATAATTGAATGTGGTGGTTGTGTTTCGTAGGTATAGCATACCTGAGTGGAATGTGCAGTGAAAAACGAAAATGTATAATTGCAGAGGACAATGGTCTGAATCTGGCTTTTACAATTGCCCATGAAATGGGTCACAAGTAAGTATGTGAATATTAAAGCCTTTTATTCATTTGCATTGAATACTACTGTGATTTGACTAATTTGATTGTGTACTTCAGTTTCTCCTTTCTTTCTATAAGGAGGGGATTTAAATGAAAAATTCAGAAAATAGTGTATCTGTTAATAATAATAATATGTATCAATACATAGTATGTAGCTTAAGAAAAGGTTTATGTAATGTTTAGTAATACAAAAATCTTTATAGCTACAAAATAAATAAATTAACTGGAAAGACTGTTCCCCATTGTCTGGGGAAAATCAGGTGCCCCAAGATGTTTGTTCTATGCTGACTATGGTATTGTGTAACAGATCCAACTCTAACAATTATTGCCAACAAACATTTTAGTGAGATCATAAGTTGGAAGAGCCCTTATTTAATTTGGCTTTCTTAGGATAGATCCCATTATAATGTAGAATAGTAATTGCTTATTGCAACATTAATGTTTTTCATCTTAGAAGAAGAAAAAGATGGCAAAATGAAGGTGAAGTTAACTGTCCTTCACAGTTGGGCTGGATGTTTTTACTCATTCAGTGTTGAATATTTTAGCCCAAGGTGAAAAATTAATATTTTTCAATAATAAAATCTGTTAATAATATTTCAGCTTCATTCCCTCCCTCACTACTTGTAAAAAAAATAAATAGAAAATGTCTTATTTTTAACTGAAATAAAAAGGAGATATGTATTACTCTTATCATTTTTTTCTGCAGTGTCTGTGCCAGGTATTTATGTATTTGTATTATAATGTCAGTTTCAGAGGGACAACAGACAGGGATGTTTTGCTAAATGTGTGGTTAGGTATCTTAGGACAAATACTTTGAGTTGAAAGTGACTTGGTTTAAATTTGGTCAAAACTTCCTGAGACTGGAGATCCTAGCATGAAATATTGAAAAATGAAATTAATTATAAGAAAAACCGGAAATTAAAATATTTGTATTGATTTTCTTTCTAGATGCAAAATAAGCAAATACAGAGCAATTATTTAAAGATTGACACAAGTATAAGTTGCTGCTTTAAATTGATATTTTATGGTTTGTTGGGTTTTTTTTTTTGGTTTGTTTTGGGTTTTTTTTTTTGTTTTTTTTTTTTTTTTCATTTTCATAACTGCAGAAAAAAACTCCTGGTTAATGTAAGCCAGCCTGCTTGCATGATAGTTGTGATAAAGGAAAGACCTAAAAAGAAATACTTATTTGTGTTTTGTAGCTACACATCATTCTACTTCTATTTTTTGCTGTAGTGTTTGCTGGTATTGGAAGAGGGAATGGGTAGAAGAAGAATTATTTTCTGTAAACTTATTCCTGTGACAGCAAACCAAGAATAAGGGGAATTAAACAATCCCTGATTATGACCTGCAGATGGATTCACTGGTAGAGTAAATTAGAAAATTGTTTGATGCAAGTATGATAATAACATATATACTGCTGTATGAGCAGAACAGTAACAGTGTTTCTACAGTATAGAAGCCTTTGCTGCAAAATTACTGTATTTGAAAAAAGAGACATCTCAATCAACAAGAAATACAACATCTTATGCTCACTGAAAAATGGTGATACGTAATGTTCTTGCAAAGTTATGGGTGGTGTGTTGGTTGTGCAATAGCCAATTCGCGAATGTGGGATACTGATCTTAAAAAGTTTATGTGGTTACATAGTGGTAAGGTATTTATCTTGCAGAAGACTATCTTTGGCTTCCTGAGGTCTTCTAAGATGACAAGCAGTACATGAAACAAGGTAGACAGAGAAGCTCACTGTTGCTGCTAGCAGTTCTTCCAAGACTGCAGCACAGGTCAGGCTCTAACCTGTGTTACATTTGTTTGTGAACTTGGAATATCTTCATGGCAGCATTGCAGTTGGACTGTGAAAGAGAAGGAATCTGCATGATTTTCCTACAGGAACATAAAACTTATATTGCTGATATATAAATCCTGGGGCAAACAAATGTTGCAAGGCTACATATGAAATTTCAGAGCTTTCAAATCCTTTAATACTAATTCAAATAAACTTGGAAAAACAAATTATGATGGTATCCCAGCCATCATATTCTCACTGATGATGGAAGTAATGGCATTTGGATGTCATTAGAGACATCCTCACAATTCTCTGTGGGTAATATAATAGACATTTTTAAAAAGTGGAAATAAAGAATAAATAAAATCTTGTGTCAGTGTAAAAGACAGAATGTTGATTGAACCAGTCATTTCTTCAAGAAATCCAAACGAATGAAGGCTTGTAATAAGGCTTGTAATAGACCACATAGTGTATAGGGGAAAAAAAAAAAAAAAAGAGCACCCTCCAGTGCAAAAGACGCAGAGGTATAGAGGCAGAGATCCCTGCTTCACAATGGAGTCAGAGTCCTTAGCTGTCACAATCTGAAATAGAGTGGTCTTGCACCAAGGAGCGTAGGGGTGACATTTTAGAGATATTTGTTTTTTTCTGCATGAGTGTCTCTGTTTGCCAGTCAGGCCCTGACAATTGCAAAGAAGATGCTAGAAGTAGTTGAACCTTTGTGAAGAGACAATATAAAAATGTTGAAGACAAACATTTGAATGTAGATCCTGTTGGAAAGGACTTGAGCAAATATATCTAGAGTATCTCTTACAGAGATTTGTCTTGCTCATTCTTAACTGCCTCAGAAGCAGAGATTAAATGCTCACCATACAGACCAGTCATAAACAGTGCTTTCAATACATCATCTTTTCTAGAAAATTTTCACTAACTTCTTTTGAATCTTGAGGTCATCTAACCACTACCTTGGTTTTTTTGTATGTAATATCTTTAGCCATTCTAGTTGCTCTTGTGAAGAGTCTAGTTCAGCAGCATAGAACCAAAAGCTTTCTCAAAGACTTTGCTTCTTGAAGGATAAAGAACAAACATTTTTTTTCCCTTCTGTACAACAGATATTCTTGCCCATAAGTTGCTGCACAAATAGATTCAAAAGTTATGTAATGTAGACGCTGTTAATTTTCATTTTCTGAGAGCATGAAAAAGACAAACAAAGACATTACCAGTTGTCATTGTATTAATGAATATAAAGCTCTGATGCATTCCTTTCACTAAAGAAATTTTTCCTAGTATCCAACCCGAACCTCCCCTGGCACAGCTTGAGGTGATGTCCTCTTGTCCTGTTGCCACTTGCCTGGAAGAAGATTCCCTTATATTGAATGCATTCTGATACATGGATGTTTATTAAGTGTTGTGTTGTTGGTTTATTTTTGTTTTTCCAATTGAAAGAGAAATATTCTCAATGAAATACAATGACAGACTAAACCTCACTTTGCAATGTGAAACATCTTTGTTCTAGCCTTGTGTATCTGAATGTAGATGATATTTTAATGACATTGAGAATTAATGAAAGTCAACAGTTGATTTTTGAACTCTATCTGTGTAATCAGTCATTAAAAATTGTATCACATTAATGGATTTGGATTTTATTAAACATATTCTAAGTATTAAAATTAATTTACTAAGCAATAAGGTAATTACATAATGAGGTCACATTACATAGTTAATCATAAGACATTGTCTCTGTGGAGAAAAGAGCTAAGAGTGACAATTGCTGATATTGAGGTTAACGAGCTACATGTGATTTTACTTAAATGATAGCCCTCTATGGGCTATGATTCCTTTTGAAGGATGGAGAAATAAAGAACATATGTAAGTTTATGCCTCTCTAAATGCATTAATTTACAATTATTAAGTGCTCTAAAAGTAGTTTAGAAGTTGTCTTAGCCACTTAAATGAGAAACTGGTGTAATTCTTCAGAATTAATTTTATACACATCTGCATTCTTTTTCTGACGAGCATTTTTTTAAATATGAGAGGTAACTGTTACTAAAATTCAGGATGTTCTGACACATATTTTGTAGTGATGAACAGGGAGTCTGTGGAACTTCTGAATCACCTATTTAGTAGTTAATAAGCAAAAAGCGTATATTCTTTATGAAGATATTAAAAAGTTGTAGAAGGTGCAGGGAAAATTCTTGTAATTGTGGCTTTATTCCAGCTGCAGAGTCTCTCATTTCCCTCCAATTGTTTCTTTCTTAATTTTTTCTGTTCTTTTGGCTAATGGTTTAAGGCTGGGTTTCTCAGTCCAAGATGCAGAGATACAGATATTAATCTATCTGTAGGTACTCTCAGAGATGTTGAACTTTGACTGTTTTGGCTGGTTTTCATCACCACTGAATTTTCCGTTCAAATCAAAGTCAACTGAAGTGTAGAGACAGAAGCCTAACTTCCAGTAAAACCATTTGAAAAGTACAGCTACTGTTTGAAAAACTGAGCTTTGTAGTGATTTTTAAAATGCATGCACAGCAGATATAGGCAATCATCTTTCCCATACACATATTTGTGTCATTACAGATTTACACAGAAAAGGTTGTAATTCCCTGCTTTTTGTGCATAGCTGCATACAAGGTGAACATGCCTGGAGAAGAGAAGGCTCTGGGGGAAGCCTATGTCACTTTTCAGACCTAAAGGAGACCTATAGTAGAGCCTGGAGAGGGGCCTTTTACAAGGGCACATAGTGGCAGGACAAGGGGGAATGGCTTTAAATTGGATGAGAGTAGGTTTAGATTAGATATTAGGATTTTTTACTGTGAGGGTAGTGAGGCATTGAACAGGTTGTCCATAGTGGTTGTGCACTCCCCGTGTTGAGCTGATCAAGACCAGGTAGGGTAGAATTTTGACCACAACCTGGTCTAGTGGAAGTTTCCCTGTCTGGCAGTGGGTTTGGAACTAGATGATCTTAAATGTCCCTTCCAACCCAAATCATTCTATGATTCTGTGGTTCTCTTATTTTTGTATTATTTTTGTATTGTTTTACTGTCTGTGACATTTTCTATCCTCCTTGTTTAAAAAATAGAAACTTTACAGGGATATTTATCTATAAAGCATAGCACTTTAATAAGAAGCTAATTTTTAAAAAAAATACTCTTAAGAAGGAAGGTAATGTGCTTTCCCTTTTCCTTGATGCTTATTTATT